ACATCTCATGGGCATGAAGCCTCATCTCTTGCGGGCAAGGGCTGCACCAAAGAAGGCTCAGAAAGCACAATCACAGGGGATACTTGGATTCATGGTACTGCTTAACCAATCATAACTGTACTTATAACCATATTAGGGCACTTCAGGGGCTGACAAGTGGGTTATAAGTACAGCTTATCATTGGTTCAGAAGTACCATGAAGCTCCAAGCATCAGGGGGGGTTGGGAAGGGTTGAGCCGAGGGTGCAGAGTGTGAAGGCTCGCTGTGTGGCTACAGCTATCTTTGTTGCAGTGTTCGGAAGATTTTGCATTCCACAAAACAGAAAACCAAAAAAAAACATGTCCCAAACCTCATCTCTAAACCCAACTCCCTGAGTGCTTGCAGGCAGCGCCCCTGTTTTACTTGCAACCCTAAACCCTAAACCCTAAACCCTAAACCCTAAACCCTAAACCCTAAACCCTAAACCCTAAACCCTAAACCCAATTCCCTGAGTGCTTGCAGGCAGTGCCCTTTCACTTGCGACCGCGCTGCCGCCGCCACAGCGCGCAAGACCAGAACTACTCCTTTCGGTGGCGCCTCCTCGCCGTCTTCGCAGGTTTAGGAATTAGGGTTTAGGGTTTAGGGTTTAGGGGTGTAAGGTTAAGGGTTTAGGAATTAGGGTTTGGGGTTTAGCCTTCTAGGGTTTAGGTTTAGAGGGCCCAGGGTTCAGGTGTCCCTCGTGTTTTGGCCTTGCCCCTTGGAGTCCCCTAAGCCCTATGAGCCCCAAAACCCTTGCAACCATAGGAGGGTTTAGGGTTTAGGGTTTAGGGTTTAGGGTTTGGGGTTTAAGGTTTAGGGTTCAGGGTTACCGAACTTTGCGAAGCAAAACCCTACTCTGGGGGTCAAGCTGCTACATTTCATGCCTACTATTGGGCCGACCTCTTGAACTGTGAGACCTAAACTCCTTACAAAAAAGCACCTGGTCTTAGTTGCTGAGTTCATAGGCCCCCAAAAAGTGTACACTGTCAGTTCTATAGGGATTATAGTACCCCAAGAAGTGTACTCACTCAGCTACCAAGACCTAAACCCTAGACCCGCAAACCTCCAGGACTTCGCTGGAGAGTGCCTTTTGTGTTTGTGGGGCAAGCCCTAAACCCTAAACCCTAAAACCTAAAGCCCTAACCCTAAAGCCCTAAAGCCCTAAACCCTAAAGCCTGAAGCCCGAAACCCTCGATTTGCCTCGCGGTGCTCAGGGGCCAGCTTCCTCCAAGCTTTTAGTTAGGGTTTAGGGTTTAGGATTTAGGGTTTAGCCTTAGGGTTTTCAGGGCGTTTCGGGTTTTTAGGGTTTTCAGGGCGTTTAGGGTTTCAGGGTTTTAGGGCTTTAGGGCTTAGGGCGTAGGGTTAATGTTCATTCTGGTATCTACAGTAATCTACAGCGGAATGGAGGATGGGGTGAGGTTCTGTGGCTTATGGGATTGAGCGTTTGGGTTGCTGGTGCTGGGTTGATAAGGTTGAGGGCTGAGGGACGCAGAGTTGGGTTCTTCCCCAGGTCTCTTCCCTCTTCAACACAGATGCCGCCATAGTTCATGGTAGTACATACTGGTGTCTTTCAGAACCCCCTACCAAGCGTCCTTTCTCACCCTCTCAAACACAACCTGAACCCTAAACCCTACACCCTAAATCCTAAACCCGAAACCTCGCACCCCTAAGCACCCAAAACTCATGGGTTCCCCTGCTACCCCCTCTATACTACCCCCTAGGTTCCCCCATAATTGAGGCTATTTCGGGACATTTAATCTAAGCCTAGTTAAGGCTATTTAATGGGGGAACCTCGGGGGGGGGGGGGGGGGGGGGGGGGTAGACCTAAACCCTAAACCCTAAACCCTAAACCCTAAACCCTAAACCCTAAACCCTAAACCCTAAACCCTAAACCCTAAACCCTACAGGGGGTAGTATGGAGGGGGGGAAAAAGCGAAGCCCATGAGAAGCCGTGCGCCTGAAGAAGTCGAGCTCTTTGAGCTGCCTCACATGTTAGGGGAAGGGGTAAGGAGAGGGTTTAGGGTTTAGGGTTTAGGGTTTAGGGTTCAGGGTTTAGGGTTCAGTTTTGTAGGGTTTCGGGTTTTAGGGTTGCAGGTTTATGGCGTCTATAGGGTGTCATGTAGGGTCTATAGGGCTTCGAGGGCTTGCGGAGTTTAGGGCTTAGGATTCGGTTCAGGGTTCTGGGTTGAGGGTTTCGGGATACCAGAGCTCACCCGATAAAGGTTGGGCTCACGCAGCCAATCCGACTGTCATCCCTCTTCCTCAGTTGAAACTACCATGAACCTCTAAACGTATCCTGAACCCTAAACCCTAAACCCTAAACCATAAACCCTAAACCCTAACTACCCCAAAGCCTAAAGCCTGAAGCCCAAAGCCTGAAGCCTAGACCCTAGACTCTAACCAACAAACACATTTTTGAGGTTCATCTCGTTCCCCGGTACGGCAACCTGAAGCCTCTTAAGCCACCCCCCCGCAAGGGTTTAGGGTTTAGGGTTTAGGGTTTTGCTGAAGCTCCATGAAACGTTTCTTTGGACATTGGGGCTTTACCCCCAAACTCTACACGTCAGCAAGCCCTACACCCTCTAAGCCTTGAAGGCCAACAAAAATGCATCCTTCACTCTCTCTCTCTCTCTCTCTCCTTTCTCTCTCTCTCTCTCTCGTCCTTCCTTCCCTCCTTCCTTCCAGTTCATGCAGGCCCAATAAGGGGCTCGTTGGGCTGTCTGTCCTTCAGGTGGGGATGTGCAGGTGGTGGGTCGGCCTCCTGCTTGGGCGTGGCTTTCGATAAGTACTGCCACTCTCTCTCTCTCCCTCTCTCTCTCTCTCGCGTTCTCTCTCCCTCTCCCTCTCTCCCTCTCCCTCTCTCTCTCCCTCTCTCTGTCTGACTCGCGCTGGCGCTCCTCTCGCCCCCTCCCTGCCTCAAGGCGGGATGCATGGCTCCAAGCGCAGGCAGGCTCGCCAGGGCAGCGGTTACAAAGCGAGGTTAGTTGGGAAGCGGGCACGAGATGTGTATAGGGTTCTAGCTACGAGCTTCCAGTGCTTAGGGTTTGCTGCTTAAGGTATAGGGTTTGGGGTTAAGGGTTTAGGGTTTAGGGTTTAGAGTTTAAGGTTTGGGGTTCAAGGTTTAGGGTTTATAGGGTTCAAGGCTTCTGGGGTTAGGGTTTAGGGCTTGGGGTTTAGAGTTTAGGAGTTGCGACTCATGAGGTGTATGTAGGGTTTGAGGATGTAAGGCTAAGGGCTTTGGGAGGACTTCAGGGCGCTGAAGCGTTCTCAGAGTTTCGGGTTTGCTCCCAGCTGCTGAGACCCCATAGCGTCCTTGGTGTAGGGTTGGTAGGGCTTCAGGGTCGAAACCCTATAAACCTAAACCCTAAACCCTAAACCCTACACCCTAAACCCTAAACCCTAAACCCTAAACCCTAAACCCTAAACCCTAAACCCTACTGTAAACCCTAACTAAAAAGGGGAATTTGCACTGGGGTCCTAGAAGACTACATGGATGAGCCGCACGGCTCCGCGCGGCAGACGCAGAATACACCAATGAGCTCAAGAGGGGATGCAGCATTGCAGGGTTTAGGGTTAGGGTTAGGGTTTAGGGTTTAGGGTTTAGGGTTCAGGGTTTAGGGTTTAGGGTTTAGAGTTTAGGGTTTAGGGTTTCGGGGCTTGGGGCTTGGATCTTCGAGGGTTCAGGGTTGAGGCCGTTCCCTGGAACTAACCTTGGAATCACCAGCGCAGACACCCTGAGCTTACATCTCCTCCCCCCAAGACCCTAAAGCCCTAACTCCAAGCCGAAACTGCCCAGTTGTCAGGGTTTAGGGTTTAGGGTTTAGGGTTTAGGGTTTAGGGTTTAGGGGTTAGGGTAGGGACACCCAACGCGGACTCGCACCCCAACGGATACACGTCCAACGGGCCTATTTGTGCCCTAAGGCCTGACCAAAATATGATTCCGCCCTACATGGCCATGCAACCTGTACTAAAAGGCCTGAACCCTAAACCCTAAACCCTAAACCCTAAACAGCGGCTCCCTGAAGGCCTTGAAATTTTGGGTTACCTTGGCCTGACTCTGCCCGAAACCCCGAAACCGAAGAAAGCCTCGAAAGCCTCCGGAGTTCTTTCAAAACGGGTTTACTTTGTAGAAACGATAGACTCATGTGGACTCCATAAAAGGGTTTACTTTGTAGAAACGATAGACTCATGTGGACTCCATAAAAGGGTTTACTTTGTAGAAACGATAGACTCATGTGGACTCCATAAAAGGGTTTACTTTGTAGAAACGATAGACTCATGTGGACTCCATAAAAGGGTTTACTTTGTAGAAACGATGGACTCATGTGGACTCCATAGAAACCCAGAAACCCTAATTCCTAAACCCTAAACTCTAGGTTCTACTTTGTATACTTGAAGTCATAGGGTTCAGGGTCCACAGCTCGCAGGAGGTACTTGTTTGCACGAAGGCCGGGAGCAGGCAAAAAGCACACAAGGTCCGAAACCCTAAACCCTAAACCCTAAACCCTAAACCCTAAACCCCAGGCTCCCTCCTGCATCCAGCCACAGCTGTCGAAATCAAGTTGCAGTGTCAGGCATTCCTTGCAAGCCCTCGCCTTTCGATACCCTAAACCATGAACCCTACGCCCTAAACCCCAAACCCTAAACCCTAAACCCTAAACCCCAAACCCTAAACCCTGAACCCCAAAACCCTAAACCCCAAACCCCAACACAAGAGCAAGCAGAAAGATGCAGCACTCATCAACACAAGACCCGATGTACCCAGCTGATGGATATGGCGTTCTGGATTCCCTAAACCCTAAACCCTAAACCCTAAACCCTAAACCCTAAAACCTAAAACCCTAAACCCTAAACCCTAAACCCTAAACCCTAAACCCTAAACCCTAAACCCTAAACCCTAAACCCTAAACCCTAGACCCTGTTCCGAAGCTCCGCCCTGTCCGGGATTTCGAGCAAGTCCGGAGATGTAGTAGCTCGGCCTTCTACGCGTGCCCCGCGTAGTGCTTCTGAAGTGCATCCATCGTCCTTGTGTGGGAGGCTTGCGCAGTTCGCGTGACGAAAGCACCCAAGCACCAGGGTGCCGAAAGTATCTCAACAGAGTCTGTGGCCACGCATCTGAAGTCGTCTAGCGGCACAAAAGCATAAACATGCCGGACCACTGTTCCCATGCTGCTGGCGTCAAATCTTACAGTGAGCTTGCCTGGGTCACTGACCATCTTGGCAGGAACGACTATGGTAGGTCCGCAACCACAACAAAGATCGAGTGGGTCCCTCACCCCTATCTCTCTCACGGACATTCCGCCCGGTAGCACACTTTCCTTGGCAACTGTGACCGCCAGGGCAGTTCCCAGCTTCACCAACAACGAGGGATCTGAGAAATCGCTGAAGGCTGTTTGAGCTGAGGTGTCAAGCTGTCTCTGGATCTCATATGTAGCAATGGGGTCGCCCATGGCTAGAACAGCTGCAGGAATTCTTCGCCCCCTCAGGTTCCTTCGCCTTGCGTTGCGCACATGCTTTCACTGACTCCTGCCGGCTTTCTACATCTTTCTATGATGCATATCATACGCACACACATACTGTGCATTTATAATTTTCTTACTTCCTGAATACTACAGAACTCCGTGCCCCTATCGAACATGGCAGAGACCAGGGGCTGTCTGCACGCATTGAGTGAGAGCCGGGAGTGTACATATATTGGGGTTTTGGGTTCAGGGCTAGGATGAGGTTAAGAGTTTAGGGTTCAGGGCTCAGGGTTTGAGGTTCAGGGTAGTTGATATGATGTATGTAGAGGTTCGGATGGGATTCCAAAGGAAGTACATTCCCCGAACTTAGACGCGAAGAGCTGAGCCACCCTAAACCCTAAACCCTAAACCCTAAACCCTAAAGCCTAAACCCTAAACCCTAAAACCTAAACCCTAAACCTGGCAAGATACCCAACCAAACCCCCAAAAGCCTAAGCCCTACTGGGTTCCCCAGTAACTTGGGAGAAAAAAGGGCACCCTTTTTGGTTCATAGGGGTTATATGGGATACGAACCCAATAAAAAGGGAATAAGGGCACTACTGGGCATCCTAGCCTACCTGAACAGCCCAGCCCTTACACAGCCCAGATCTTCGTAGCCCAGAAACCGCATTAGAATCAGGGCACCCTGTGTGGGGGGTTTGGTTTCTTTATCAGAGAACCTGAACCAAAGAAAAAAAGTGCAAAAGGCGACCGCTGGGCTACGAAGACACCCCATAATCACGAACCACACCGAGGCGTTTTCTGCTAGGTTTGGGTTCAGGGTTTAGGGTTTATGGTTCAGGGTTCAGGGTTCAGGGTTTAGGGTTTAGGGATGTTTAGGGTTTAGGGTTGTTTAGGGTTTAGGGTTTAGGGTTTAGGGTTTAGGGTTTAGGGCTACCGTCGCCGTCTTTCGGTCGCGTAGATAAGCCTGGCGCAGCAGCTTAGTCTTCTGGCCGGGAAGCCTCTTTATACAGGGTTCAGGGCAGAGGGCTCGGCCTTGGTACCCTTACAGGAAGCTAAGGAACCTCCATAGCTGCACCCTAAACCCTAAACCCTAAACCCTAAACCCTAAACCCTAAACCCTACATAGCTGCAATAAGTACAGCGCGGCCCTGACCAGGGATTGCGAGCTCAGACTTCCTTCCTACTCTCAACAGCCGATTGAGGGTATAGGGTTTAGGGTTTAGGGGTTAGGGTTTGGTTTTAGGGATTATCGGGTTTAGAAGTTTAGAGGGTTTAGGGTGCGGGTCTTTCTCGACCCAGGAGGAACCTAGGAATGAAAGGGTGGTTTTGGTCTAAATGGGCTTATCAGGGAACCTGAATCCAATAAAAACAAGGAGACAGGGCCTACTCCTAGGTTTGGGGTCTGCAAGGTTTCCGGTCTTTTGAACGGTTTAGGGGTTTAGGGTTCAAGGGCTTAGGGTTTAGGATAAAACCCCAAAACCCTAAGCTCCTGAACCCGACAGCTCCCAAATCCTAGCGCCTTTAACCTATCAGCGTCGGCAGGCGAAGGACTGTGCGGAAAACAGGACCGCAGGGCCCCTTCTTGCCTAAATCCCACACCCTAGAACTGCTAAATTGCAGCCTCAACCATAGCTTAGGGTTGAGGGTTGAGGGTTGAGGGTTGAGGGTTGAGGGTTGAGGGTTCAGGGTTAAGGGTTCAGGGTTTAGGGTTTAGGGTTTAGCATGTGCAAAGGAACCTTTGCGGCAGTCCGCCCACCGACACGTCGATGCTTGCCGACAGGCTAGGCACCGCTAATCAGTGAATTCGGGTTTGGGGTTTAGGGTTTGGGGTTTCGGGTTTAGGGTTTAGGGTTTAGGGTTTAGGGTTTAGGGAGGGACGTGCAGTCTCTGGCCCTCGCATCGCGCGTACGCAGCTTGCGGCTGAGTGGGTTGAGGGTTTGGTGGGTTGGGGGCTTGTGGACCCTAAACCCTTAACCCAAACCTGAAGCCCTATATTTGCCCTTGTCGCCTTCAAATCATACCACCTTCGGGTACTCTAAGCCCCCGGCTCAGTACGACTATAGGGCCCTTGTCAGGATGAATGTTTTTCGATTTTTTGAAGGGCTCTGAAGCAGATCGTAGTCTTACTCTCCAGCCCCTTGGGGATATCGTCGCGCAACTGCAGCCTCCTGGTCTCAGGGCCTTCCCGAATGTCGGGTGTATGTCCCCCTAAACCCTAAACCCTAAACCCTAAACCCTTAGCCCTAAACCCTAAACCCTTAGCCCTAAGCCCTAAACCCTAAGCCCTAAAGGCCATATGGATCACCCCAAAGTCCTCTCAAGGGTACGGGTCCAGGCAGCACTCTCGAGTGGCCAAAAAAGTCGTCGGAAAAAGAAGGGGGCATCGGAGGGTGAGAAAACAGCAAGTAACAGGGGTCCTTAAGGGAGGGTTTATAAAGGGTTTCGGGTTTGTAGGGTTTGTAGGGTTTGTAGGGTTTGTAGGGTTTTTAGGGTTTAGGGTTTAGGGTTTAGGATGTAGGGTTTAGGGTTTAGGGTCTAGGGGTTCACGGGGGTAGGTACCTAGGGAACTTCAGGGAAGCTCAGGGAGCCTTAGGGTTCAGTGGGGAGTATTAGGGAAGCTTGGGTTACATACCCCTCTTGCACCCCACCCCCTTAAGAACGCGATAAGCAAGAGGTGGAAGACTCAAGGGAGATGTTGGGCCGCGATACACCAATTCGGGCAATCCAATGGCCCGAGGCCTACCTGAATATGAGACCCTAAGCCGGAAGCCCTAGACCCTAATCCCTAAACCCTAAAAACCCCTGAACCCTAAACCCTACGCCCTTAAAGCATCCTAAGGGCCATCCCGATAACCGCTCTTCAGGGTTCAAACACCTCTCGAAGCCCCTTGTGATGATCATTGCTTGGTCAAAATCATGCGCCCAAAGCATTCATCCACAGACCATCGGGGGGATTGCCTCGAGCCATCTGCCCCCTGCACGAGGCATTTCTAACCCGGATTTATGGTTTAGGGCTTTTTAACCCGGATTTAGGGTGTAGGGTTTAGGCTCAGGGTTTGAGGTTTAGGGTTTCTAGTATCTAGGGTTGTAACTAGGGAAAAGGTTTGGGCATCTCCTCCCTATGGTCCTCCACGCAATCTTTGAATCCGGCCAAGGGGCCGACTGTGCAAGGGGTTAGTTCAGAGTCGGACCCCCCCAAGGTTGTAGCCCCAAGAGCTGCCCCTAAACCCTAAACCCTAAACCCTAAACCCTAAACCCTAAACCCTAAACCCTGAACCCTAAACCCTAAACCCTAAACCCTAAACCCTAAACAGACTCCAATTATGGCCCTTAAGGCTGTACCCCTAAGAGCATGCCATAATCGACTCCAAATGGTTGTACCCCTTAAGACCTGGCCTTAGGAGGCTCCCGAGGATGGCCCTTGTATGAAGGGTCCCCAAACCCTGACTTCTCCAATAACCACGGGAAACAAAGGTTAAACTACTATATCATTCCTACGATGTAAGGAAACTCAAAGAGCTTAAAGTTCAACTATTGGCCAAGTAAGAGGGTAACCCAAGGGCACAACCTTAGGGGTCCAAAGCAGAGCCCCATGAACTGTTTCAAATGGGGCTCTACTTGCTATGCTCGCTATACTGGGAGTCCGCCAGCAGCGCTTGCAACTCAAACCCTAAACCCTAAACCCTAAACCCTAAACCCTAAACCCTAAACCCTAAACCCTAAACCCTAAACCCAGACATCGTTCTGTCATGTTTAGGGGTCAGCCAGGTGCCCCCTGGCTTCTGGGGAAGCTTATCCTAAACCCGAAACCCTAAGCACCCTCGACCCTAGACTTGTGCTTGTTCTTCCTGGCTGTGGTTTCTACGGAAAAAAAGGTGGGTTAAACTTAGGTGCGCTAAACTTAGGTGCGGCTTGGGTTTCTTGTAGCCAAAATGCCCTCAACTTGGTAGCCAGTAACCCTACCACAGTAAGGGTGCCCTCGTAGGGTTTAGGGCTTATAGGGTTTAGGGTGGAGGGTTACTGTACAACTACATGGGAACCTTGAACCCACAAAAGGGCAAACAGGGTACCGCCGGGCTACCAAGGTAGAAGGTTTCAGGTTGCCCTACTCAGCGGTTTAGGGTTTAGGGTTTAGGGTTTAGGGTTTAGGGTTTAGGGTTTAGGGCTTAAGGGTGTCGGGCTGGGGTCAGCACCTAAGTTCCTGTTGCGTGAAGACTGCTGATCTACGAACCTTGAGGGCATGATATCCCCTCCTCGGAGACCCTGTCACCTCGTTGTATTGATAACTTGAAACCCTAAACCTAAGCCAAAAAAAGAAAAAAAACGCATAAAGCCCCAAACCCCAAAACCCCAAAACCCCAAACCCCCAAACCCCCAAACCCCCAAACCCCAAAACCCCAAAACCCCAAAACCCCAAACCCCCAAACCCCCAAACCCCCAAACCCCCAAACCCCAAAACCCCAAAACCCCAAAACCCCAAAACCCCAAAACCCCAAAACCCCAAAACCCCAAAACCC